AGAACATTCATTTACGCAACAAATAGTAACTAGCAAACAACTTTGTCACTCTCATGATTTCCAAATGGTACCGTGTCGTCGGCGATATGCGGTTAATAAAATTACGAGTATATGCATGCGGTAGTTATATGTAATGTCAAGGATATTTTCATTTCGTTCCGGACACATACGATGTGTGAAATTTATTCACAGTTGTGAAATTTTATTCAAAAATTGCGCCCAGAGTTGCCTTTCGATGAAACAGAACAAATTAACAATTGTTTTTGTACCACAACAGAGTGAAGTTCACTTTATCTAGATGTTATAAAATTATATACCTACGCAATGTAAATCATATGACGGTTCTGTAGCAGGAATTTTAATAAAATAACCAACAAGAGAGCGCAAACAAAATTGCTATCAATTCGTTTTGATTGTATTTAATTGAGTGACAATAGAAATAACCTATTGTATATCATCTTGGTGATTGATTGCAATTTGTTTTTTTAGCACAATCATCCTATTATGTTTTCCCGTCTAATATATATCCTGCAATAGAATTTATACGTATATAAAATTCATATCTTCTCATAAGTGCCCAACATATAACTGGCCGAAGATGTCGATATTGTATCAGCAGCGCATCTCAATTCTCCCAATCGTGCTCAATTGTCTCATTAGACGAGCACTGCTTGACTGTTTCTAGGTCGAGTATTCCCCGGACACTATGCTGTAAATAAAGCACAGTTTCGAGTGACCAATGAGTCGAGACTATATACGTAATATCTTAGTAAAAATAGAACATTAATATTTGCATTTATTTTATAGCATCTGTATTCTTGTTGTGTTTAGACGATATGAACCCGTGTCGTAAAGAGCAGGTAATGGACAGAAAATTAGTAATGTGCAGATTGTACCTGACTTTGATTGTCAACTCTTTTCCAGTGTAATCATCATAAAATTTCCACTACTGGGAATGTTTAGCTGACTTTTTGTGTCCCAGTACTGGTGTTATGTGAAGTCAAGGGTGTAGTGGATTTTAGGTAGCCATCGTGGAAGTCTTCCTTATTTGAAAAGGCTTTCGAGTAGTCTACTACTAAATTCTGATGTGTGAAACAGAAGTGCATTTATTATTGATACAAAGATCGAATAACACAATGAAAAATCCTTCGATCTGACTGGATTCGAACCAGCGTCTGTTGCCACATCGGGACAATGGCATTTACCAACTGAGCTACGGAGCGAGTTTTCTCATTTCATTGATGCATTTTCTCGCATATGTTTTATTCCGATTCAGGAGGTCTACTCCTATTCTCCGTTCGACGTCCATCCGAAACAATTGCTGTCAAATAAGTAATAATCGACCAAATCAAAATGTTAAGTATGAAGTTTCATTCGCGTTGTGCGGTTTTTAATTTCGTCGAGTTTTAATTATTTGACAGTAATTGTTTCGAACAGATGTCGGACAGAGAACGGGAGTAAAACCCCAGTTTCAGATTGCGTACTGTTTCAGTGAATGTGTGCGTGATTGCTTTTCCGCCAAAACATATCCCATACGGCCCCATACGTATTGAGTTTGTTAGAATCTATTGAACTATCATTTTAGACCATTCGCCGTCAATAGTGGGGAGTTCTCGAAAAGCGTGTCTATCAAAGCCGCAACGTTTTGTGACGTCCAGTTCGACGCAATCCACGAGTATTCGTTATTATTATTAGGCTTTATAGGTGCCAATAAAATGCAATTGCAGAACCGCTATTGTGTGAGAAATGAATGACTATGACTATGACGATGATTTGCACATTATTTGTGAGTTTCACGTTTATGATGGTTGCGTTTTGAATTGAATTGAAAATGTTTTTATATGCGGTTTTCCATTTTCTTCTCTATGTTTTATGGGTTCAAGGCAAATTAGATGGTACTTTTGTGGTGTAAAATAATGACGAATTTCGCTAAAAAAAGTAACAATTATTATACAAAAGGTTAAAAAGTAAATGGAATAACGCGATACTTAGGTTGAAAACATGACTAGGTAATGAATAGATTCTGGCCTTACTTTTCGGAAGCCCATGTTATTAGAAATGGAAGTAAATTAATTTTGCTTCTCCGCGAACCCAGTGCGCAATTGTGCAAAAAGCGCAGCTATTTTGCACGATTTAACCTACACTTGGTTCGCGGAGTAGAAAATTAATTTACTTCCATGTTTATGCCTCGATAGAAAAATTTTTTGACAGTCAGCCTGTTCCGAAATATCATGAAAATAATAAAAAGTCCTTCCGTAGAATTGGCGAAATTACGGGCACATGGGAATTATAAACTTATGCCTCAGGGTGACGAGTATAGTGGCATTACGCCTCAGATCTTTGTGATTTGAAGCTCTGAGTGGCACTGCAACTGTTACGGACAGTCATGTCGCTTATCACCAGGCGCACGACTTGTTCTGTATCATAAACAAAAATCTTATATACTTATGTACCGTGGTAAGAAACTTGTAAAGGTGCCTACAGATTGCTCGATTTTTTGACGATCGACACGAGAAATCTAACAAAACGAGCAAATATGGTAGGTACAGACGATCGACCTATCGATTCACAAAACACATCGATCGACAAAATACAGCGATCGACAAAAGTTATCGAGATTGTCGATCGACAGTAACAATCGATAAAATCGAGCAAATATGTAGGCACATTAACTAGTGATAATCATAATATGAAAATCTTAAGATTGAAGATTCATTCTTTGAATAAATTTCGTGAACTGGGTCTAATCACATGTGATGAATCTTGACATTATAAATTTTACTACCTACTTACAATTAATTTTCAACGGCTTAATTCCTTTTAACTTTCAGCCTTTGATTTAATATATATAGAATAAAGCCTTTAATAAGGCAAATTAAATTATATAAAATATTTACATAAATAAATTAATACCGTGTTTGATAAAAAAGAAACATGTGTATGTAAATTAATTCAATGTTTACTGCGTCAAAATGAATTAGATATAAATCCTTTGTTCCTATCCTCGCCATTAAACTTAAATCATTTAAACAAGAAAATGCAAAGAGTTTTATGTTTTAATCTACGTCTTGCTTATTTTTGAATAGAGTTTCCTATTCCGCTTAAATGGAATAGTGCCTTTCTATAATACTTAGTTCCTTGATAAGATCTAATCGAATAACCTTTTAAAACCATGCAAGTTGGACGCGAAAAGTACACGCATGTGTACATGTGTCTCACCGAGACATAAAATGCCCTCTATGTCTATTTTATTATGCCAGCAATTTTCGATAATAAATAGGTTATTAAACCGAATGGAGTAGGTATATTAGATTTCACGGTCAGAAGATACATGTATTGCATTGCCTATTAAAGGCTTTCAACTAATTAAGGGCAAAATTACATCTGACAAATTGACAATAACGTTACAACCTGTGCATATTTACATATTTGTGTTTATTTTAGAGTGGTTACACAAGGCGACTTTTAGCAGCGATGCAAACGCGCGTTCGTGAAACGCGCGATTGCAACGCTACACATGCGATTTATAGGCGAATGCATTGATGCAAACGCGAGACTGCATCGATACAATTGTGTAGCGATGCGTTCGCCCATTTGTATCGATGTTTCTTTGTCGTATGTTTTCGAATCTTTCATTATTTTATTCGTTTGTTTATTAGCACAAAAGTTTTCGGTAGCTTAGTAAATAACGCAATAATGTACATATTTTGAATAAGATTATTTTTAATTCACTTGTCAGAGACTTTTCTTTTTTTTGTCGATCTACTACTTAGGCTGCTAACAGATTGACTGCATGTTTACATAGGAAATGAAACTATTTTTCCGGATTTAAATCGCGTATATTTGTTTTTTCAAACAAACCGACGTTTCGGGCCCTTTACAGGTCCCATGGTCACGGTTGACTGTCAATAATCCGGAAAAATAGTTTCATTTCCTATGTGTAACAATCGCGAAAACCTAAGAACTCGATATGCATGTTTACAGTTATTGCGTGAAGTCCTAATCAACTTCATGCAACAGAGACCACGACTGCATGAAGTTGGTAACGACTTCACGCATTAACTGCATGCGGTCGACCTCGGCTGCACGGAGTGGGTTTTGACTACGTGCAGTTAATGCATGAAGTCGTTATCCGAGACCTCGACTTCATGAAGTTAAAAAAAGACTTCACGTATTAACTGCGTGCAGTTGAAACCGACTTCATGCCGGCTACATCACCTCGGCTGCATGATTATGACTTCACGCATTAACCGCAAACATGCAGTCAATCTATTAGCAGCCGTAGTCATATTTACCAGTTTTTCAACTCTTAAAAGCAATAGTACCACCGAAGTAATAACTTAACAATAAGTAACAACTTAAAATTAAGTAACAACTTCGGTGGTACTATTGCTTTCCCTTCGGTGTTCCGAAGGAGAAAAACGGTGGGAAAAACTGTTTTGCTCGATCAAATGGTTTAGGTGTTTACTATTCGATAAAGGTCTTACAAATAATATACGATACACCTAAGAATATTGTCTAAAGAATGTGCTTTGAGAATTTGTTACGCGATAGGATAGTACTTTACTTGATCACACAAAATCCCGGAAAAAGGCTAAAGTAAAAATGTAAAACGAAATATTTAAGAACAAAATACCTAACTTTGTATATAATTTTTATGCGGAGATTTTTGTCTATAAGTACTACAGAGAACCTGCTAAATTTTGGTTTTGAATTGAAGCCCTGTAGTTATTAAATTCACATTTATACTAAAATTTGAAAATTACCCAACGGTTTAGCTACGTCCGCGCCGCCCGCTGCTCCGCCAGTCACCATCAGGCGCTTTTCGACGACAGATCTGTGTCAAAGTTTCTCCGCCTGTTCTTATTTTTTGTCAGCGCGCGGGTTGCGGTACGCGAGATGCTGTCCCCCACATCTCACCTCCTAAAATGTAGGCTCGTTGAAATATCTTGCCTTACCATTTACAATGCTTTTGTCTAACAGCGTCTGTATTGTTGCAGGGAGGCGAAGTGCAGTGGTGGGTCGCAGGATGCCGATCGCGCCGCGCGGCCCGCCGCCTCAGACGCCGCCCTACCTCCTGCTCCATAGGAGACCTAGCTTAACCCTCAAGTGTCCTTCGATAATATAACGTCTAACTTTTTATACGCCTCTTTTATACCGACCTTTAAGTATAAGCCCGCAGTGTTAGTGTTAAGTGTCGCGCGCGAGTGTGAGTGTATATGTGTGTCGATGGTGCGGCCGACATGGGAAAGTCCTCGGCGAGAACACATGGCCAAGGTAAGTGTGGAGTGCTTCAAATATAACTTTTCCGGGACACCTGTCCTCAAGGTTTTCGCTGGTTTATTTGTCTTCTCGATTGGTTTTGACCTTCGCTAAATTCTACAATACATAATTTCTTTCTTTCACTAACTAAAAGGCGCCTAAGTGACAAATGGTCAAATATCCGTTTTAAATGCAAAAGATAGAGCACAAAATTCTGTTTTAAAAACAATTAAAATTAGTTAACGTATTCGACTTCTCGGAACTTACCTTAACGATGCATAGCTGCAATATCATCAAACAATTTCAATATTCTAATACTGGGTTATGATGGTTTTTTATGATATATCAAAAAAATATTTTGTCATTTAGCCGCGTTTTAGTTAGCACACGGCAGCTATTCCATATTGCGGTCTCATTTTAGCCAAATATCTTTTAATAAATGTCATTTTAAAAAGGTCGTGGTAGCCTAATGGTTTGACCTACCACCACTCAAACAGAGACCGTGGGTTCAAATCCGGGCTCGTACCTCTGAATTTTTCACAATTTATGTGCGAAATTGAATTTGAAATTTTCCATGAGTTTTTCGGTGAAAGAAAACACCGTAATGAAACCTGCACGTCGAAGAATGTTCATAACCTTCGGAAAAATGTGTGAAGTCCCCAACCCGCATTGGGCCAGAGTGACGGATTATAGCCTGAACCCTTGCCTAAGAGGAGATTCCTGCCCAGCAGTGGACATATAAATGAATTGATGATAATAAATAAATAAAATAAATAGACATTTCTCCACAAAACATAACATAATCACAATACTTAAAAAAATAATAGATAAAACAATTGAGTGATGTGAACAAAAAGGTTAAAGATCAGCATTACTGATTTTCAGTCTTCACCTGTATAGCTAGCTGTTCGCTTGCTGCACCAAGGTAATATGTGGAGTGTACACCCAGTGATAAATACACCAAGTAATAAATAATGATGATGAAACATCACTTAGAGCGCATAATTAATAATTGCTTATTCATTACGCATCATAAATGATGTCAAATTTTCCGCTTATTAGTAAACGTCACTACTCAGTAGTTAACTCAAGTCCATAGTCATTTCAAATGGTATCATACGAGATGCCGATGATTATACTACGTACTTAATACAGGAGCGCTCCAGTAGGTCTAGCAAGACAAGGCGTGACTTTAGCGAGAGCGACATGAAGCGCGAGATACCGCTATTCTCGCATAGACATCTCGCGCTGTATATCGCTCTCGCGCAAGTCGCTTCCCATCGTGCTAGCCCTACAGACGCAATTACTGGCCTAAGTGACATCTCGGCCGATACGTCGGAATTAGGAACTGTTCATCATTACGACCCTTAATGTTTTTACGAGTATTACGTGTACTTCGAATGTATTTTTGATACGATGACTATGTGGAGTTAACCTATAGTATAATCTATAGGACTATTTCTGTTCGTAAACCATTCTAAATAACTATGTAGAAGCTCGCTCATTCTTATAAAATGACGGTTCGCGCATGAATAAATAAATGAATGAATATTAGATAACATCACATGCGTTGCTCTGATCTGAAAGTAAGTAACTAAACCACTTGTGTTATGGAAATCGAGAACAACGACGGTATCACAAACCCGAGACAATATTGAAAAGTTATATGTAAACTTTGATATAAAATATTACCAACTTGGGCCCAAATTCGGAATGGTGGTGCGTTCAGCAGGGCGCTCAAAGTGTGCGCGTTCGTTGCGCACAAACGTATTTCTTACACACGATGAACCCGCATACTTTGAACGCCCCGCTGAACGCACCTCTGTTGCGAATTTGTGGCCTTATCAGGGAATGCTATGGTTTAGCAAAAACTTGCCAAATATACTGCCAATTACGACGATTCTAAAAATACTGCATAGACCTAGCAGCACGAGTCATATCATCAACACTAGGGCGGCTAAATGAAGTTCGAGGCCTAAACAATGACTCAACTTCTTATTACTGATAAGTTATGATAACACTAGTTGCGTGACTCAGGGGTAGTATAAATATTACTTGATTTTTTTTTTGTTTCGTTCGTAACAATTGTCTCTCTCTCGAACCTGTCGTAAACACCATGTCATGATTAAAACAGGGAATTCTAGCTAGAATATTGGAATACCGCGCCGTGATTTAATTTTCTTAAGATATCTGAATCATTTTTTTTAATGTCAGCAATTCTTTAGGATTGTCTTCAATAGTAAGAAAGGCCTCACTTATTTGAATAAGGATGAGAGACCTGTAAATGAGTAATATTTTATAAACTTTTGGTTTTTTTTTATGACACGAAGTGACGGGACGAACAAGTCGTGCGCCTGACGGTAAGCGATACGCCTGTCTATATCAGTTGCAGTGTCACTCTAAGCTTTAAAACACAAAGATATAAAGGGCACTGCCACTGCGCCCGTCACCCTAAGGCATAAGTTGACAAGTTCCATAACCCTGTAATTTCATCAGCACCCTTACGGCGCGTGTACACGCTAAGAATTTCGTCGTGTCTACAACAGAAAAGACGAGAATGGCCTTGTACACGACAAGAACTTTGTCGGATCTAGCCACGAAAATATTTCGTGTCTGTTGCAGACAGAAAATGATGAGTATGTACACGATACGAATGCTTTCGGGCAGACGTGTCTAGGGTAAACGTGTCAGTGCACTTCCAGGTAGCTGTCGCTTTACTACCGACTGTGTGAAGAAATATGTTGACAAATTATGTTAATAAATTATATGTATAGAATAATAAATATTTCTCTCCATGCCTCAAAAGTACGTCTTTATAAATCTCTAAGGTTTTGTCCCACAATACGGGTCGTTCCTCTACTAAACTTATAAATAAATCATGCATTTTGTTAGTCGCAAAGAAATTAGTGGTGCAACAGTGGTACTTTGCAAAATCAGTCCACGCGCATAAACGTTCGTTTTCTGACAATGCGCCCTATGCAATAGCGGCAGAGCGCGTTGCGTCGGGGGTAGATAAGATTTTTTTCTTGTCCGGCGCCGAGGCTGTGTACACAGTTCGTGTGTAGAAACGACACGAATTCTCGCATAGGTCCGGCGACTTTTCTTAGCGTATACACGCGCCCTTATCCTTTAAAACCGGAATACAGTAATGCTGACATTACTGCTTGGCGGCAGAAATAGTTAAGGTGGCAGTACTTCCCTCGACGAGCTCTTTCACAAGGAGCTCTACTGCTACTATGTTCATCAAACATAGGCTAACAACCAATTAAATTTAGCCTTCAAATAATAAAAAAAACACTTGAGATTAGTCCATTCGTTTGGGAACTACGATGCCAAAGACAGAAATACAGACTGACACTCTTAGAAAAAAGCCTTTAAATTTATAACTACACTTTTTCGTTTTTGGTTAATAAATAGTGAGTGTGAACGTCAAACTTTATCTACATTAATTAACCCGAAAGTAGTAAATGACAATTACACTTTAGCTTGTAGTTTAGCGGGTATATAGGTACTATTACTAAAAATTTATGAATAGGATGCACAGACGGCAACACATCAATAAAGCTACGCAAACATGACGGATCTTGTTCCGTTGCCTTGGACTCGATATTCGAACAAAAGATTATACCTTCATGTGCTGTTGACTGTACGTTGATGTTCCCCAATTCATTTTAGTTGTACTGAAATATGGTAAATATTGAACAAAGAATCTAATAAGTACTACATTAAAATGAAACGCACATGTCTACTGAAGATGTATTTAGGTAACACCTACAAATTCCCCTGTATTTATAAACAAATTTAATACCCGCGTGTATTGAATAGTCCGACATACTGAAAGTTTTATTCATATATTTGGTAGCTTTATTTAATGTTACTATTAATAGCTTTTATGAATCGTTTTATATGATCAATGTAATCGCTTTATAAACACTTGTAAACTTGAAAATCAATATAATACTTAGAGAATTTGTTACATATGCTCTAAATATAATTTATGTTCTGAAATGAGAACTGATTATTCGTATTCAAAGTTGAATAAATTATAGTTATACAAATGTGAAATGCAATAAAACATTAAACTATTCAAATGAAAGTAGTACAGTCAAGAGCACGTCAAGCTTGACACTTTGACCGTTCTTATCGTAAGCGGCAGGCATAGAGTTGAATTTATGTCTTAAGTGTCAAGTTTGACGTGCTCTTGACCCTGTACTTATATGGAAATATAAGTACATTGTACAAAAATAAAATGCAACCCACACGATTGAACCATTTTGATAGGGGTTGGAACGCCACCGATGTTCATTTTCACCGGAAGCAACACATCGCTTCTCTTACATTACCTTATTAACTACACATAGAAAATGGATTATTCTTAATCTTTACTCTGTCGGCGTTTGCTTTACATCACGTGTAGGTGTTTATGTGAAACAATTTTGCCCTCGTCAGTAGTGAACCATTGCATATTTGAAGTGAATTATTTATAGTATCGTAAATTGCATTGTTATGAAGCTGGGACTTCATCGATACGGCGCTGCCGCGTCGTCTGTTCGCTCGACCGTAAAATAACATTGCCGCATCTGATATCAACAAAGTAATATGTACAACATTTACGTGGGCTCTAACGACACAAATGTTGAAAAAACTGCGAACAATCGTATGTGACTGTGGTGTTAAAAAACGACCTCAAAAGTTTGTGGAATTACATTTATTTGCCAAGTTTTATTGAAATCGGTTACTGGAAAGTGCGCTAAACCGGATTCATTTCCAACTTTGCCCCCCTTAGAGGTGGAATATTGTCTTCAAATTTAAATGGGACCAACACTGAGGTATTCTCTTTCCAATAAAAACAATCATCAAAATCGGTTCACAAAGTTATCGCGTAACATACATACAAAAAAAAATCAAGAAGTCGGTTCAAAATGTGTTACATTTAGTCCGTTTTCTTAAAATTGGTTATTGTTGACAATAGTGTTTGATTCCTTCTAATATTAGTGGTTTTGGAACCGTCACAA